GTAATACATGGAGAAAACAGGACTATAATCTCGATTCCAAAGAGATGTTGATACAAAATGAAAGGTCTTAATTCTTGAAGTTAATAGGAATATTTCCTGAGTAAAGACCCACAGGACTGGGTTCTGAGAAATATTTTTCAACAATAGTCTCACACTCTTGCTTTCCTTTCTTCCCCTTCATCTTCTCACTTCTCCTTTCTGAGCAGTTTCCACTTTGGTCTTTCTTCTCTGCCTTCTTAGTCTCCATTTCTGGCTCCTTCCCCTTTTTTCTTTTTTACATATCTCTGTCCCACCTCACTCTTTTATTTCTGTCTCATGATGTCTGTCTCTCTTGTGTCCTTTCCTGGTCTCCTCTTCTCTTTCCTACTTTCAGGATTGCCACGGAGTAGAGATTTACTGTGATTTTGTGGGTGAACAGAAGCTTTTTCCCTATGGTGCAAACCCCACTGTGAAATTGATCAGGACTATGTTTGTGACTCTAGTAAATTTCATGGTACCAGTATCAGAGGAAAAACTTGTGCAAAATTATATGACCAAGCAAGTTTCATACTATAGCCCACTCCTTAAGAAAACACAAGAGCATTCATTGAAGACCAAGATTTCAGGAACTTTGCTTTGGCCATGTCTATTCTTACAGGAAGATTGACTCTGCAGAGGTCCATCTTCTGGCATTCGATTTAGCAGGTCTAAGATCCCTAAATAAATGCTGAAGGTGCTCCTGCCAGCGTCTGACACCCCTCCTTTTACGAAGAGTAAGGGAAACCGACAGGAGCCGCCAAGGACACCGCCAAGTGTCGACGCTGCCAAAGCTCAGCTTAAGGTAAGCCGACTCCAGCTACACATTTTGCAGAGCTACGGTTGTGAACCTTAAGACAACATTTCTGGTCTAGTGTAAGTCAGGCCTCTATGTCCCTGCTACTGTATTATAGAAAGGTTTCCCAAATTCTACATGCAATAGAAAAATATGACTAACTGTGATTTACAGGGGACATCTAAATAACTAATTCTTGCCATAATGCAGTGGAAAACTGGAGGACTAGGTAACCCACAATGATTAACTGATTAAGCCAGTTTTAATAATTTCAAAAAGCTGTCTGAACCCTCTATGAAGTGAAAAGCTTTTGTACAGATGCAAAATAAATTTTCAGTAACTATATTATTAATGGAATGAATGAATAGACATTTACAAATAAATTTACATTTATAAATGAATGCATTTCAGCACAAAATATCTGAAAACCAGTTTTTTTCACTTTCTGTCCTGATTTGGGGGTTCTGTGCTGTGCTACTACGTGCCATAGCTTATTTCATCACAGCCATGTAGAGAGCTGCTGAGAGCACAGAAAAAGGATTGCTCTTATGTTATAGATGCTTTTAGCACTTTGACATCCTTAGCTGAAAGGTGACAGATAAATACAAAGTATATGCACCTTCATCTGGACATTTCATCTGAGGGCCTCAAAGCTTTTCACCTCTAAGGCAAATGAGTATTATAGTACACATTTTACATATGGGGAAATTGAATCACGGAAATTAAGGTCCCATCTAGACTGAAAAATCTATTATATTGTGGAATTGGCTTACATATGTCATTTCCAAAGTGGTTCAGCATTATATTGTAGAAGTGACAAAACCAGGCTTCAGCTTTGTTTGTAAATCATGTCACATCATGTTACAAAGGACCTGATTGCTTGAACCTCATAGACTGAGAACTCCCAATTAAAATACTGCAAGCCTGTCCATTGACTTTAATTGGAGTGCCTTCAGGGCCTTGTACCCAGACTATGGACATGCAAATCTTCCACTGATTTCAATGGAAATTAGGAACCTTGCCTAAATACCTTTGAGGATCTGGGCTTTGTGAGTTTCACACAGCAAATGGCCTAATTTGTCAGAGGATTTGAGCACTGACAAGTCCCATTTAAATAGATGAGAATGGCAGGTACTCAGCACCTGTGAAAGTCTGTGGCAGAAACACAATTAGAACTCAGATCTCCTGATTAACAGGCCTGCACACTGCTACTAGGGCATGTTTTCTCCAGGATGGTAAAAGAACTGATTCACAAACACTGGGCTTTAAAGGCCAATCCTTACATTCCTTATGCCAGCTCCCTTTGACTTTGATCCAGCTTCCATAATATGTTAATTATTATATTTCTAATTTAATTTGCGTCTTTTTTTTTGCAAAACTTTGAAGTTTGGCTATTAAACTAATCACATCTAAAACTTCATCACTTAAAACTATAGTTAAACAGAGTCCTGTGACTAGAGTTTGTCACAGTAACGAACAATCTTTAAGGGCACAAACTACTCAGGAGCCACATTTAATGAGCTTCATGGCAAACAGACACACCAGTGTATTTGAACTATTGGAAAAAATACACACAGCCACCTTGGGACGCCCAACCTGCTTCCACTGATTTCAGTGGCGACTGGGAATAGGCAGTCTTCGGAAGCACAACCCATACAATGGGAAGAACTTTACAGACAATGTGTGGTGACAGAGGTTTATAATTAAACTTAGAAGTACTGGATTTTTAAACAACAGATGTTGGCACGTCAATTTCATCATACACACAACCCACTAAAATGTATTTCCATTGATGATGATCAGTATTTACAAATAGGCAAAATAAAATGCTGCTTGAGAATTTATTAACTTGATTTACATTTACTTTGTATATTTTGACACATGATGTTGACAATTTGTGTTTTAACAATTATAAAGACTTATTTTTTAAATCCAAACATCTACTGTCATTTAATGACAATTATTTGGCACCCCTATTGTCTGACCCTCCCAAAAATTCCTACAACTATGAAAATTTAATTAGATAAAAATAAAAAATTCTTTAGAATCAATATTGATATTATCCATAAAAATTATGCCAACCCTATTTACAGTAGAAACCACAGCAAACAGACTGACGTGTAGCTTTAATTAATCCCTTCATGTTATGATTTTACTTTTTCCAACGCTCTTTAATTCAGGCAAAGACTTGCATACCTAAGATAACAAGTAAGGACACGTTTCTTTTTACACAAAATTTTGTCAATAAAAGAGCTAGACAAGAAGGATAGGACTAAACTAAAACAATATTTAGTACTTGTACTGCACTTTGCTTCTTGAAAGAGCTGTAAAACATTAGTTTTTATCTAAATTATGTCTTTATTTTACTAAGTATTACAATGTGTACTTTATTAAAATACAGATGCATGACCTAGTTCAACATTAAATGTCTTGTCTGATTCTTACCCACAATTTGTTCACAGGAAATCAGTGAGTTAGTGAACCAAAAATATCCTAATGTTTACAGAGAGCCCTCCCTTGGAAGCAAAAAGAATTGAAATCCTATGTTAGACTAGTTAAACTATATTGTGTAAATGACACACATAGTGCTCAAAATGTAAAGTACAACCTAGAATTAATGTCAGTTAGTTAGAGCCATTCTAAAGTTGCATGTAAAGCTGTTCAAAATACAGCTGCCAGGGAAACGCAGAACATGACTGAGCCAGATGCTATAGAAGTCAACAAAACATGTAGTCCATATGCTAACCTCTCCTAGACCTCATGACTATCCACATCCACAACATCTTTTAAACAAACTTTTTTTAAACAAATACACATGCCTCCTTACTGAAGTGAAAAGTATTTTACTACATCCTGTTCCCTTTTTTTACCATCTGTACATGTTTATTCAGAACCTTCAAAAAGTCTAACATTTGATTTTACTAATCTTTATGAACAGACACTAAATAAAACAAAACAGTGAAAGCAGCAAAAACAGTGAAACTATGGTAATGTACTAGATGAAACACATCCAACCCACTCTTATTATTTCTGATCTTTTTTTCTATGAATAGACACTGCCATCAGCTTTAGCAGAAAGCATGAAAGCCAGACTACATTTGCCATTGCTCTATCAAGATACCACTCTCTCTTTCTCAGCCTATGTATATTTTAAATGGCACTTCTATTAATATTTTTGATAAAACAAACATATTAGTCTGAATACTGGGATTAGTTGATCAGGGAGTCAGTCTACAGGGGGTCAATATTAGATGTACATCCTTTTTCTCTATATACAAATATATTGTTGTTTTTGTTACTGAGTCAACCTAGTTCTTGCTCCACACAATGCAAAAAAAAAAAAGAGAGAGAGAGAGAGGTTCATAAGCAGGGTTATCTTTTGGATGCTTTGGTGCCCACCAAAGTGCACACACACAAACATGCACTCAGAGTATCACAAACCAAAGACACAGGTACACTCACAAACTTACTAGAACACACATAGCCACTAATATGCATACATCATCTTATATACAACACACTAACACATACCAAGACATACACGAGCGCCCACACTCTAATTCTAACACATTTTCAAATACACATGAATTAGCACACATGAATATAATGATACAATCACAAATCAGCAAGCCTTCACTGCATACAAACACACCATAATACCAGTAAACACATACCCTCAATACACCCAAACACAAACCTTCTCAAATGCACACAAGACAGACACATACAAAGGTATAACACGCACACACACAAAGGCGTACACAACCACCACCACACACAGCACACACCTTCTCCTCAAACATACACTCCACAAAACAAGACGCAGAGACACCAGTACATATACAAACACCACGATACACTGCACACACCTTTATACACACAAACCTTTTCAAACACATACTCAGGAGCCAGACAAGACACACACCAACACAAGTGCATCCCGGACACGGACCCCACGGGACACAAGGCGTCCAAGCAAATGCCGCAAGAGACACTCTTTGGCTCGTACACACTCGCACCCCCAACCTCTCCCCCCATCTGTGTCTAGCTCACACGCACGGGGGCTGATGGGGATGGATGGGCAGGAGCCAGCCAGCCTGGCCCCGCCAGCGTGCGGGACGGTGGGTCCGGCCCCCATCACACCCACCCCAGCCGCGGCAGGACCAGCTGGCCCGGCCGGATCACTTACGTTCCCAGGGTCTCCTTGAACTCGAAGATCTTCTTGATGTCCTCGGCTTGCTTCTTCCAGGAGGAGCTGCCCTCCCCGTTCTCCCGGGCCATGGCAGCGGCGGCGCAGCTTCCA